TTTGACCAATTCCGGCGGGGAAGTTTAGGAAACGTGACAGTAATAGAAATACTTAGTTGCATATTACTTAACTGCATTTCACCTCTCCCCTCCCCCCACCCAGGTCTCATGGGAGTCCACAACTCTCGGTTTCTGGTTCACTGACCTGCTGGACCGCAACAGTCAGTTCCACAGCTGGCTCTTTGACGGGCGCCCCAGCACCTTCTGGATGACTGGATTCTTCAACCCACAGGTCAGACATTTTTTATAAAGACTTGAGTGTTTCTTTTTTAGGAACGACTTTTCTCCCCTGCTGGTACTATGTAGATCACTGGTGTCAACGTCAGATTACCCGGGGGCCGCTAGAGGTAGTATCTGGGTGAGCGTCAAGGGTTCCGCAAAAAAAAGTGTCACGTGTTTAAAAGAAAAGTACAATTTAGTTAATCTTCTCAATTTTTATCGATGACAGTTCAGAACATGAACGGTTCTTCGAGATAAAATAGGCTTCTCATACCTACAACTGGCCTCCAGGGACCTGGTGCTGTTTTTTTCTAGTAAGTTCCGTAACGTTTGACTCGAGGAAGGAAACGAGTGAGCCCCTCAGTAAGGCTTGAAGATGCTCATCAGTAAGTTCAAATCGTCCCGTGGGCCTCTTGTGACCACTGACATGCGGGCTGCGAGTTTGAGACACCTTTTTTAAAATATATCTAATTCACGCTGCATGAAATACATCTTAGAAGATAGACGGGGATAATGGATGTCATAATATTCCGCACATGGGAATCGAATTTGCCTTAAGCCCCAATACTTGGAAAATACTCACCTTTGTAACCGTATCAAATTTTATCCTCTTAGATGAGGTAACACAGACACTTACGATCACATCCACAAATATCTTCAATTCCTCGTGGATGAAGAGAAAACGGTACCCCCCCCCCCCCCGAAAAAATCAAACATTTTGCGAACTTGTTCACAAATGTATGGTCCTAATCTTTCCACTTAACAAATATTAAGCAAAAGCTTTGAAAAGAAAACCCTTTCACTCTTTGTCTTTGTTCAAAGCATGCAGCAGTACAAGCTCTTACCAAAACATTCACAAATGTATGTATTCCCTTACCACTAAAAGCCGGAACAGAACCAGCTGCAGCAATAACGACGGCAACAATAATAGCAACAACTATAACTACAACAGAAAAAGCGGTTACAAACACGTTCACAAATGTATTCATGACCTCCACCCTTACCTCCGTAACAAGCATAAGCTCTGATGCAAGGTGCGTTATAAAACTAATCACACCAACGTTCTAAAGTACTGCTACATATTAATAGATGCCTTTATATTATGAGATATATGCCTTTTCTTTGACCCTTAGGGTTTCCTGACTGCCATGAGACAGGAGATCACTCGTGCCCACAAGGGTTGGGCCCTTGACTCTGTCATCCTTGAGAATGAAGTGACTAAACTGATGAAAGAAGATATTTCGTCTGGCCCAAGTGAAGGTAGGTTTTAGGGAAGTCATACAGGCTGGAAGAGTCGTCGTCGTATCTTTTCCGTCTCTTCCAGAGGGCTGTGTGTGTGTGTGTGTGTGTGTGTGTGTGTGTGTGTGTGTGTGTGTGTGTATGTGTGTGTGTGTGTGTACGTCGTATGTATTGATGTCTGGCTGATTGTATGAATATGCGAAATGAACAGAAGTTGTTTGTGTGTTTGTGCAGTCGTCATTACTATTATAGCCGTATAATTATTACCGCTATTATTATTCTGACTTAAGCATAATAATAATAAAAGTAGTAATAATAATGCTCTCGATGACGATAATAATGACTATAATCACAATAACAATCACAACAACAACAAAACAGAAACAATAATAATAACGACAACAACAACAAAAACCCGGATCAACAACAGCAACAACTAATAATAATGATAATAATAACAACAACAACAATATAACAATTATAACAACAATAACAATAATAATAACAATAATAATAATAATAATAATAATAACAACAATAATAGTAACAATAATAATAGTTTTGAGTAGGTTTTCTGAGTTTAAAAGGAAAACAAACCCGTGCACAAAACACTGGTGGTGTACTAATTCATGCCTCCATCATTATAAATAATAATTTCCTGATGATCTGGCAGGTGTCTACGTGTACGGTCTGTTCCTGGACGGCTCCGGCTGGGACCGTCGCAACGCCCGCCTCATCGAGCCCACCGCCAAAGTGTTGTACACGCCCCTGCCTGTGGTGCACGTGTTTGCCAACAACCAGGAGAAGCAGCGGGCGGGCAACGTGTACGAATGTCCGGTCTACAAGAAGCCTAACCGTACTGATCTGACCTACATCTTCCCGCTCTTCTTGAAGACGGTGAAGAACGCGGATTACTGGACCCTCAGGGGCGTGGCCTTGTTGTGTGACATCAAGTAGACAGTGATTGACAGGGGGCATGGTTTTGTTGTGGGGTTTCTAGGATACATCAATTCTTATTGATTATGATTGGCAGGGATTTTGGTATTTGTTTTGGTGGGATATCGAGAAGAAAGTGTTTGTCAGGGAGCGTGGCTAACTCTTTGTTATTTGACATTTAGTAATAAATTATGGTTTGCAGGGGCGTGGTTTTGTTGTGGGACATTGAGTAGAAAATGATTGTCACAGGTGTTGCTTTATCATACCACAATAAGTAGGAACTGACTGTTATCGACGTTGCCCTGTTCTGATACATTCAAAAGGTAACATATTATTTTCATGTAAACATGAGG